TTTAGCCAACCGGAGCTGTTGTGTGAAGGGAGGGCATGTTCTCTTCGGCCACCAAAGGCCTCCAGCGTTCACAGCCAGGCAGTCTCTGCACCAGGGGCAAATCCTTCGGCCGGGTCAAGCCACGGCCTTAGCCGACCGCTGCCCTCCCTGCAGGATGCCCCTTGGGCACTGACAGGTAATCTCTGTCTAAACCTGAAGGAGAGCTGCCTTGAACCCACTTGCCCGCCCAGGGCCAAAGGAGGTCGGCCGGGCGTGGCTACCTGATGAGGTCCAGCAGGGCGTCGGCTGAGCTGAGCACCACTTTGCCCACCAAGTGCTCCTCCTTCTGGGCAGCGGCGCCTGGGTGGATGATGATGACCAGCACGATGCCCGTGGTGACCGCCATGAAGGTGGTCCAGAGGTAGTAGGTGATGGTCAGGAGGCCCATCTTCCCGCAGATCTGGGAGTCCATGGTGGCCAAGCCAGACATCAGGCTGCAGGGGGCAGAGACAGACGGGCAGAGGCTGGCTCTCAGCGCTCCAACAAACCCACCCCCTTCAAATAATAAGTCCCTAGCCGCATCTCCCAGAGTAAAAACAATTGATTTATTAGAAGTGGCCATGCTGGCGTTAGCTGGATGCAGCCGATACTAAAATACGTCAGTCATTTCCCCCTTGACCCTGGTCTTCCCCCACCCCCTGGATGTATATTCTCCAATGGGACACATCCATAGCCAAGAGTCATCAATCGGGCTCTCCAGTAATAATCTTGCGCGCCAACAGCCTCGGCTGCCAAAGCGATTATCTGAAGCATTTGAGGAATGCACTGCTTTCCCCCTCACTCCCTTTCTGCTGGCAGCTAAAAAGACCAAAGGAGTATCTTTTTTTAGTTGACACTTGCAGGGGGACGAGGGGAGGGGAGGCAAGGCCTGCTGGCCTGAGGGTCGTCTCTCTCTCTATGTGCTAAGGGGTTGGGTTGTCAGCAGACTGAGGTTAAAAAAGAAGGCAAGATGGCGGCTGCAACGGTCACAATCCGGCTCTCGAGCTTTCTGGTCGTGCCCTGCAGACAGTTGGCGGGGGGGGGGGGGGGGGAAACCTGCCTCTATCTCCTCCTGGGGGCTTCCCAAAGGCTATCTATGGGTCACCCGGAGGTTTTTAGGAAGGGACGGGAGGGGCATTTGTCTGAAATGGTCTAGGGCAGGGGTCTCCAACCTTGTCTCCTTTAAGACTGGTGCCTGAGGAATTCTGGGAGTTGAAGTCCACCAGTCTTAAAGGGGCCAAGGTTGGAGAGCCCTGCTATATAGGCCTCCTTCTTAGACATGGGGTTGGACTAGAAGACCTCCAAGATCCCTTCCAACTCTATAAAACTAACGGTGCCTTTGTGCTGAACAGGGGAGAGGGAATAGGAAGGGTCTCGGGTGCGGGGGGGGAGACAACTGAAATGGGAATAAATAAACGAAATGTTGAGGGTGGCTCCCCTCCCCGTGCAGACAAAGCCCAGGGTCCCAGGTCTCCCCCAGAGGGAAGCCCACCCACTCCAAATCTCTGAAGCATAGATGGGTGAGACCTGATCTCGGTTACCTCAGGCGACCGGCCTCCTTCCGTCAGGGGGATCTAATCTCCGGAGGCCAGGCTGATCTCCTGGGGGGGGGAGGGGGGAGCGAGGCTAATCGAGGACTCTCTTGCCCAGAGCTGCTGCACATGGGAGCCCCGCACGTGGGGTGGCGGGAGCAGGCCTTGGCTGACCTCTGGGAGCCGCGCTGGGCCAAAGCCGATGGGCCTTCGGAAGGGAAACCAGCCTCCTTCTGTCCGGGGCTGAAGGGGTCGGGTGGGAGGGGGCTCTGCACCCAGGAGGAGATTGCACAGCCCGGAGGCAAACCGGGGGGGGGGGGGGGGGGGGCAAAAGAGAGGCAGTTTGGTCGAGTGGTGAAGGCACCATGCCAGAAACTGGGAGTTCTAGTTCCGCCTTGGGCATGAAAGCTGCATGGCTGATTTGGGGGCAGTCCCTCTCTCTCACTTCAACCCTCTTCGCAGGGTTGTTGTTATGGGGAAAATGGGAGGAAGGAATATTAGGTATGCTGGCCACCTTTAATTATTTATAAAAATAATAAAAGGCAGGGTTAAAAAATAACCTTAAAAAAGGCTTGGGTTGTCTTCAAACATTGCAAAGGAGCGAAGTTCCTGGTTGGTGGACCTCAGGGTCTCTGCCAGAGGGCCAGAAGACAGAGGGAACCAACCCAGGCCTGACCGATGACTGGCTAAACCAGAGGTCCCCAAACTTGGCCACTTTAAGACTTGCGGACTTCAACTCCCAGAACTCCCAGAGCTGGCTGGAGAGTGGTATGTCTATGTAGTCGAAGTTTTCTAGAAGTCTATGCAGGAGTTAGTTGAAGTTTTCTAGAAGTATGTAGGTTAGTTGAAGTTAGTTGAAGTCTAGAAGTCTATGTAGAAGTTAGTTGAAGTTATTTAGTTGAAGTCTACTCAGAAGTTAGTTGAAGTTTTCTAGAAGTCATGAAGCGGCCAAGCTTGAGAAGAAGCGCTGCACTGGACGAAGGCTGCCAACTCCTGCCCCCCACCCCCCAAGAGACCAGGGGTCAACAATAGTCTTATGCCAGCAGCTTTGGCTCCAAAGAGTTTGTCCTGCCCTTGGCCCAGTGCCCTCCGGATGCCCGCTGTCAGATCAAAGTCTGACCAAGTTTACTTTCCATCTTTCCCACAAGATTATAGCTGCAGCACGAAAACAGGACCAGCTGTGCCAGGAGAAACTTCACAGCCCTGCAATTCAAAAGTTTTGCTTGGAGGGGGCGGGGGAAGAGGGTGGCTGGCTGGCTGGCGTGACTTGTGGCCTCAGCTGCCAAGCAGAGTTTGCTCATTCTTCCACCGCCAGGTAGCAATTATTCCCGCCAGCTGGGCGGGCGACACAATCCCCCCAGGAGCCTCTTTGATCTGCCTCCCGCACACCTGCCCTGCCCCCGGGGGGGGGGGGGGGACACACGTGCGTCTGCCGCACTCACCTGGAGGTGATGAGCGGCAAAATTAGCATCTTCAGCATCCTCATCAGGAGTTCTCCGGGGAAGGAGAAATATTGCTTCTCCTGCAGGTGGAAAGTAAACAGGGGAGCGAAAGAGGCAGCTGCGGCCCAAAACTTTCTCAGCAACTTCGGGAAGGGGGGGGGAGCAATCAAGCACATTTCCAAGGACCCACGTGGGGTGGGGGGGCTGCTGCCCAGGCTGCCCCCTCCCACCAGAGCCCACCGGCCCCAATTTCCTTCAGTAACTTTGTTTTAAAGCAGCTCCATCCTTTAGCCGTGGGCACGGAGGCTGTCGCTTCCTGGGCACACGCCAACTTTCCTCCATACCTGAGTCTGCCCCCCCCCCCCCCCCTTTGGGTAAACAACCCGGCGGAATCCCCCCCCCCCCCCCGGCCCAGATGCTGAGCTGAGCCACGTCTGTTTTCCAGAAGGATGCAGTTGGAAAAGCTATCCTAAGCAGGGGGTCCGGGTGTGCCCTGCGCCCACGAGATTACTCCAAATGCTGGGACGAGATCTTGGGGTGATGCACCCCTCCATTGCAGAGACCCCCCCATACACACGTACCCCCCCCACCAGCTCCATGCACACAATGGCCCTGGATTTACCCATGTTAGGGAGTTCACCAACCACAGGACATCAAATCACAACCTAACCAGGGTCTGGGTCCGTATCAGGGGCTAAACTAAGAAATCTGGGCATTTTGTGCAGGTAAAGGAAAGGTGGCCCCACGGAGGCCTGCAAAGAACGGGTAAGTGGTGGGGGGGCTTATCCATCTTGCAGGGAATTTATCCCTTTTTTGCCATTTTCTGACTGGCATTCCTTGCCCCTTTGCCACAGCTGGGCCTGGTTTTAGAATTTTTTTTTTTAAATCCATCCCATCTTTATTCTTGTTAAAAAAAAGATGGGATAACATCTTTATAAGGAGAATAGGCGAACAAACCCAACCCTCGTCCCAAAGGAGCTTTTATTGTAAAGGCTAATGGGTTTTCTGGTTTTTCCTTGAAGAGGTTTTGCTTCTCATCCCAGAAGTTTCTTCATGTTCATTCCTGAGAACTAAAGAAGCTTCTGGGATGAGAAGTGAAACCTCTTCAAGGAGAAACCAGAAAGTCCATTTGCCTTTACAATAAAAGCATTTTGGGGACTTCCCTCGTCGATTCTGGAGGAATGAGAGCCTCCACAGACATACCCAATCCTCCTTCTTCCTCCTCCTCTTTCCCCCACAACAACAGCCCTGTGAGGTGGGCTGGGCTGAGAGAGCTGCTGGCCCAAAGCCCCCGACCAGCTTTGATCTGAGACGGGTGGGTGGGTTTTCCCGTGGTGTCCCACCGGCTCTTCCTCTTGAATGGAGAAGGAAGATTCCCACACAGGATCTGCTGTCTCTATCCAGCCAAATTCAGAACAAATGTCCTACCATCCGTATTACTGGGGGGGGGGGGCATTTTTCCTGGGTTTGCTGCCAGCACTGACCGTTGCAATACAGCCAGTGCTGGCGTTATAAACTTCATAAACAAATCGATTAAATCAGATAAAACAGGTGCCCAGCATGCAACTGGTTATCCGTCACCCCCTCCATGCCCCTCTGCCCTTCCCCTTCCCCTTCCCTCCTTTTGGACACGGGTCTCGAGGCCTTTCGAAAGAGCCGTGTCCGGAGGTGGCCTAGCTGGCCAGAGGGATGGAGCCTGCACAGTTGCAGCTGGCCGTTTGGCTGACCTTGCTGCCCACCCCAGCCCTGCCAAGCCTTAAGAGCGAATGGGGCTGGTTCTCCCCCCCTCCAAGCAAATGATGTTCAAACAGCCCGTCACTTTTGGTAATTCCATCCGGAATTTAAAAATTTGGATAGTGCCATTTGCTGGGCTCATCACTGAGGCAAGATAAGAGTTGAGCATCCAGGCATCCAAACAGTGGCTGTTTCGAGGTCCCAGGGATGGAGTTCCAACCTGGGCCACTTTTAAGACTGGTGGACTTCAACTCCCAGAATCCCTCCTTCTCATCCTTCCTATTGCCTATCTCCTCCCACTTATGACTATAACCAGGTTTGTATCTTTACAATTTATATTATTTTGTTTTCCTAGTATGTTTTGCTTATTAGCAACCTATGTATGATTTGATTGCTTATTAGTAACCTAATAATGATGAATGTATTTTGAATGAATGTATTTTATTTTTTATCTTATGTACACTGAGAACATTTGCACCAAGACAAATTCCTTGTGTATCCAATCACACTTGGCCAATAAAGAATTCTATTCTCTATTCTATTCCTATTCTACTCTACCCTTCATTCCAATATCTAATCTAATCTATTTTCTATTCTATTCTATTCTATTCTATTCTATTCTATTCTATTCTATTCTATTCTATTCTCTATTCCATTCTATTTTCTATTCTATTCTATTCTGTAATTCCATTCCACTCCATTCCATTCCTTATTCTATTCTATTCTATTCTATTCTATTCTATTCCTATTCTACTCTACCCTTCATTCCAATATCTAATCTAATCTAATCTTATCTATATTCTATTCCATTCCATTCTATATTCTATTCTGTTCTGTTCCGTTCCATTCTATTCCTATCCTATTCTGTAGCAGCCCTTTCTGGGGAGGGGTCTCTGGGAGGGAGGGCCCCTTCAGATGAAGCTCTTTCCATTCAAAGGGAAGACCAGAGGCTTGGAAAACTGGCAGAGGCTAAGTTGGCTCCCACGCCCCCATTTGACCCAGCCTGAGTCGCCAACCATGAAGCCGTCGTCGGGAGGAAAACCCCAGAGGGGGGGGGATGGGTTGCCAAGCCAGCCGGGATCGTAGGGAGAAGTGGGGCTGCAGGGGGAGGCCCGGCCCCTGAGTGGCCTGGGCATTGTGGGGGCACAGGGGCCCGCAGGCCAATGGGCCGGAGAGGGGAGCCACTGCTGGGAGAAGGCCTGTCGGGAAAGAAGGGGTCCTGGGTGACTCCTCGGAAGGCCAAGAGAGGAGTCCAGTGGGGAACGGCCGGGGTGGGGGGGCATCTTTCTAAGGCCCCTTTCCCTGCCCTGCGGGGCGGGTCAGCTGGGGGGAGGCTTTTTTTGCGGCCCCCGCCGCGGGGGGGGGGGGGCGCTGTTGCCTTGCCTGGTACCTTCTTTTGAGCCCCCTGGGCCCTTCTGCCCCACTTTCGAGACCACCCAAGGGCAGCCTGGAGGCTTTGCCCCCAGTGCCTGGAGATGGGAGGGGTGGAGCGGCTGCAGGGAGAGGGGGGCGGAGGCAGGCGAGGGAGGGGGCCCTTCTGCTGAGAAGTGGGGGAGGCCCCTGGTTCGGCTGTGAATTGAGGATCCAATCCCTTGATCTGGTTCAGAATAAAACGGTGGGGTCCCAGGTGCCCTCCGAGCTTGGTTTCTTTCTTGCAGACGTTTCAGGACCCAACTAGGGGACGTCATCAGTGCTAGAAGGAAGGGAGGAGAAAGGAAGGGAGAAGGAAGGCCGGAAGACGATGGGGTCCTGGGTGCTCTCTGAGCTTGGTAGCTTTCTGGCAGACGTCGCATTGCCAAACTAGTGAACGTCATCAGTGCATTTGGTAGGGCGACGTCTGCCAGAAAGCCACACCAAATCTCAGAGAGCACCCAGGACCTTCCTCCTCCTCCTCCTCCTCCCTGCAGCCCCCCCTTCCTTCCAGCACTGATGATGTTCCCTCGCTGGGTCACGAAACGTCTGCAAGAGAACGAGCTCAGAGGGCAAATCGTTGCTTCTGTTGGCAGGACGAGGCAGGCTGGCATCGAGGGCCCAGGGAGCCCAAGCCAGGGGGCGCGGTGCCAGCCTCCGCTCTTGTGCAGGTGCCCAGCTCTGCCCCCCCCCAGCCCTCCCCCCCCCAAACCTACCAGATGGGAGAGTTCCAGCAAGCGGAGGAGGAAGCCCACCAGGCAGCCGGTCACCACGGAGAGGACTGAGAGGGTCAGCAGCCCATTCTCGCTCCAGAAGGCCCTGAGCCTCTGGAGGGAGCCCAGCAGGGCCTCTTTCGGCTGCCCCCACATGCCACCCCCCCCCCAAATCTCACCGAGGGCAGCAGGAGGGGCCCCCGGCCAAGGCTGGGTGCATCCCCTTGGCCTGGATGGGGGGCGCAGGGGGCACCACGACCCCCGTGGGCAGGCCGGGAAGAGCAAGGAACCGGCCGGCTGCTGCCTTTCAGCCTAGAAGAAAGCGCCCTGCGTCTTATGACGCGTCCTTTGTCATCGTCGTAATCCCGAGTCTAACTTTGGAAGCAGTGAGACGGGGGGGGGGGGGGGGCCGGGGGGGGAAGGGCAGCCGGGCCCCAAGGGCGGGCGGATTAACCGGTCCGCCAGCCGCCAGGAAGCACCAGGGGCAGCCGGAGGGCGCCCTTGGCTGGCTCTTGCCCCCACCCCACCCCACCCCGGCAGCACTCTGTATGTGCTCAGAGGAACTGGGCTGGCTTGGAAAACAGGATTCCCCCAACAGGAAGGGCTTGCATTCTTTCCCCCTCCCCCCCCCCCCCCCGGGGCCTGGGCTCAGCTCTCGGGAAGAGCATCATCGCCTCTCGCGCCCAGAGGTTTTCTTTCTTTCTTTTTTCACTTGTTCTTTCCTTTCTTCCCTTCTCTTTCCTTCTTTCTTTGTCTTTCATTTTACTTTTTTCTTCCTTTCTTTCCTTTCTCTCTTCCTTTTCTTTTGCTTTCCTTTTCCTTTCTTTCCCCCTTTTTCTTTCTTCCCTTTTTCTTCTTTCTTTTTTGTTTTTTCTTTCCTTTCTTCACTTTTGCTTTCCTTTCTTCCCTTCTCTTTCATTTTTTCTTTCTTTCTTCTCCCTTTTCTTTTGCTTTCATTTCTTTCCTTTTTTCTTTCCTCTTATCTTCTTTCTTTCTTTCTTTTCTTTCTTGCCTTTTCTTTTTTGTTTTCTTCTTTCTTTCATTCTTTCTTTTTGCCCTGTTGCTTTCCTTTTTCTTTCTTTCTTTTTTCTTTTCTTTCCACAATGCCTCCATTTGAAAAAAAAAAAAAAAAAAGGCATCTAACCAAGCGGCTGAAAAACTGCTAGCCTGGCATCGCAGGCGGGCTTTGACTTCCAGCCATTGGTTAGGGACCCTTCAGGGACCACAGCACCGAAAAAAAAAGGGACTTACGACCGTTTTTTCACACTTACGACCAAGATCACCTGATCCAAATTTGGACCCTTGGGCAACTGGCCGGCTTCTGACAAGCAAAATCAATTGCGAGGGGGGGGGCAGATTCGCTTAAGGACCATATGATTTACTTAACACCCGTGGTGAGAAAGGCAAAGTAGAAAAGGAGGAATCCTCCGGTGCTCTATTCTACTTATGGCCCGGGTGAGCTGCCTGCCCAGGGGGAGAGGCGGGATTGATCCGTCCGAGGCGGTGGGAGATTAAAGCCGGATCAAAACACGAGAAGGGTGAGGTGGGGAGCAGATCAGAACAAAAAGCAACAATTAACACACCCCGGATTTGATTTTTTTTGGGGGGGGGGGGGGGGCTTTTAGGGCAGCGTATTTTACTTTGTGTCAGATTTAAGGGCTTCGCACGTTCCGCCAAGTCACGCGTTCGCCGCGAGGTGGCGCCCGCGGGCGCCCATCCCTTCCCCCCCCCCCCCTTTCTTCCTCCCTCCCTCCCTCCCTCCGGCAAAGCGGCGCAGGAGCACGTAGGGGGCGTAGCTTCAAAAGCGATGGCGTCGGCCACGCAGGCGCACTAGTGGCCAAGATGGCGGCGCCCATGGCGGCGGCGGCAGTGGCGGGAAGCGCCGGGGTGCCGGAGGAGCTCGAAGCGCCGGCAGCGGCGCCGGCGGCAGCAACAACAACGCCGGCGGGGCCTTCGCGTCCGGCTCGGCTTCCGCTGTCTCGCGTGAAGGCGCTAGTGAAGGCCGACCCTGACGTCAGCCTGGCCAGCCAGGAGGCAGTCTTCATCTTGGCGCGCGCCGCGGTGAGTGGGCGGGGCGGCGCCTCCCGGCCCAATCAGGAGCCGGCCTTGCCTGCGCGAGGTGGGGCGTGGTTTCGCTGTTTTCTGCTCGGCGCCGCCAGAGGGCGCTGTTCAGTCTCGCTCTGGGTGGGATGGGGCACCACGTGGAGATCCCGGGCAGGCTGGAACAAGCGCTCTGCTCAGGCTCAGAGGTTGACCTGGTTGGCTAAGGAGACTCCCAGCTGAGCAGGCGGATCAAGGCCCAGGGTGGAACTCCGGGGAGATTCTCTTCTGCTGCCAGCTGGGACTCTCCGTCCTACCTTGCAGGGAGGGAGCCACTTTTGCTGGGCAAAGGAGGGCCGGGAGGCGGGAGCTCCCTTGCAGGGAGGAGGACTCCCCCCATGTCACACACACACACACACACACACAGAGGTGCCTCAAGCTGCCCTTGGCCGGCCAGGGTTGGGGGCGGAGGTCTCTGCCCAGCTTCCCCAGAGGCTCCGCCTCCCTCCCACCACTAGGGAGGGCTGCCTGAGGCCCCTGCAGTGGAACCGCTGCCTGTCCCTTGTCTGACCTGCCTCCCTCCTCCCTCCCTGCCCCTTCTGCCTCCCCAGGAGCTGTTTGTGGAGACCATCTCCAAGGACGCCTTCATCCACACCCAGCACGGGAAGAGGAAGACTCTGCAGAGGAAGGACCTGGGTGGGTTAGCCACCTCCTCTTTGCAAACCCCTCTCCCTTCTAGCCCTGATGCTGTTACCTAGCTGGATCACGAAACGTCTGCATGGAAACAACAAAGCCCCCAAGCCCCCCCCCAGTCCTCCTCCTCCTCCTCCTCCCACTGATCAGCAAGGACCTGGTCTGTGCAACTGGGCTGCAGCAGCTCCAGCTGAGCCCGCCTACCATTTGGGGGAGGGGGTGGAGGGGGAAGTTGCCATCCTGGAGGGGGCAGCACACACACCCCTTCCCAGCCTTTCCCACTTCTCCAGGGCCCATCGAATGGGCTCCGCTTGTGGGTTGGTCACCCGTCCAGTCTGCGGGTGGCCTGACCCCCACCCAAGTTGGTCTGAGCCATGACAAAAAAAATCACCTGGTGGTAACATTTCCAGCCCACCAGTCCAGCTCACAAAAGTCCAGTTTTCAATTTTTAGTCTTTGGGCTTTTTCAGTTGTTGTGGGCTCTGGTGGGATGGAGCTGGGTTTAATTTTTCTTTTTTTCTTACCACAGATTTCTATTTGTTCTTTTTTTCCTCCATACCATTTTCTATTATATGTTTCATTCTGTTCTAAATTTCCTCGAGTCGAAACCATTCAACAGCATATGCTCACCAACAACAAATCTTAAGTTTAAAATAAAATAAAATAAAATGGGTGTCGGTTTTTCCCTTCTGCAGACAATGCCATTGAAGCCCTGGATGAGTTTGCTTTCCTGGAAGGTAAGGACCCTGGTTGTGCATCTGGAAAATATTTGCTGGGGTGTTTAATTCCCCCCAGCAGCCAAACCAAACCACCTTCAGGGTCATTGTGTGACTGACAGCTTTATTAAAAGCTTTCCCGGGTCTTTTCAACCATAGCGTTTGGGGGCTGGGATAAAAAGGAGCATAAATAAACATAACTGGTTGGGTGGCTTCATAATGATGATGGGGATGAAGGACTCTTTTAACAGATCGTTTATTTAACAGAGTTGGAAGGGACCTTGGAGGTCATCTAGTCCAACCCCCCCCCACCCAAGCAGCAGACCCTTCACCACGGCAATCCAGCCTCTTCTTGAAAGCCTCCAGGGATGAAACTCCCACAACTTCTGAAGGCAACTTCTCTTCCATGGGATTGTTCTCAGAAAATTCCTCCTTATTTCCAGGTTGAGTCTCTCCTTGTTCCGTTTCCATCCATTCTTCCTTGTCTGGCCTTCAGGTGCTTTGGAAAATATCTTGACCCCCTTCCTCCTCCCTGTGGCAGCCCCTCCTCAAATACTGGAAGGCTGCTCTCCTGTCTCCCCTGGTCCTTCTCTTGCCTTGACTAACCAGGCCCGGTTCCTGTAACCGTTCATAGTATGTTTCAGCCTCCAGTCCCCTCAACATCCTGGTTGCTCTTCTCTGCACTTTTTCTAGAGTCTGAAGGTCTTTTTTATAGTGTGGTGACCAAAAACTGGATGCAGAATATTCCGGGTGTGGCCTTACTAAGGCTCTTAGCCTTGATGGTTGTGGGCCTCCCCCAAAGGCTACCTGCTGGCAGACAGGTGGGCTTCCTTGGGCAGGCGGTGGGCCACTGTGAAGATAAGCTGATGGACTAGACAAGAGTTTCTCAAATTTAGTAACTTTTAAAGTGGGTGGACTTCAACTCCCAGAATTCCTGCTGGTTGGGGAATTCTGGGAATTGGAGTCCACCTGTCTCAAAAAGTTTTCCTGGGCCCAGCCGCATAAACTGTTGGCTCTTCTTGCCACTGTTTTGTGCTATTTCTGGACCCCGGGGGTCAAAATCTGAACAAAGCCCTCAAGAATTTAAGTGGTGCAAGCTATTCTAATTAAATTGCAAGACAATTTAAAAACGTTAGACGAAATTACATTGCAAGACAAAGAAAGGAATTAGGGGTGATATGATAGCAGTCTTGCAGCATTTGAGGGGCTGTCCCAGAGAAGGGGGGGGGGGTCAATCTATCCTCCAAAGCCCCTGAAGGCAGCAGGACAAGAAGCAACGGATGGAAACTAATCCAGGAGAGAAGCAACCTGGAATTAAGGAGAAACTTCTTAACAGGGAGGACAATTAACCAGTGGAACTGCTTGCCACCAGAAGAGACTTGACTGCTACTTGACTGAAATGGTGTAGGGTTTCCTGCTTGAGGAGGGGCTGGACTAGAAGACCTCCAAGGTCCCTTCCAGCTCTATTCTCTATTGTAAATAACAAAGGCAACAGAAAGACTGCATGATTTAACCCAGGAAGCAGAGAGAGAAAATACTTTGCCCAGGAGAAAAACGGAATTCTCAAAAACGTGTGTTCTTTTCAAATCCAGGAACACTGGACTGACCCTTTTGGGAGACGCGTCCCGGGAAGGAAAGGCCGAGGGGCTCCCTCCCTCCCTCCTCACCTGCCAAGGAAGACCCTCCCAGAAATCCCTCTGTATAGAGC